AATAGTTTACTTCTTGGTAAGCTATAAAACTGTGGGATATACAGGTGAAACTCAAAAAATTAGAATATTGTGCAAAAGTTCATTGATTGCATGTAATATTCTAATTTTCTGAGATGGTGGGTTTGGGGTTTTCATGAGCTGTATGTCATAATCATCACAATTATGACACACCACGGTGTGAACTATCTTCCTTTGCATGTAATGAGTCCATCTCATATATTAGTTTCACCTTTAAGTTGCATTACTGAAATAAATGAACTTTTGCACAATATTCTAATTTTTTGAGTTTCACCTGTATATCCCACAGTTTTATAGCTTACCAAGAAGTAAACTATGGTCCACTTGGTCAAATGCCTTACTGAAGTCTAAGTAAACTCTGCCAACAGCATTTCTCTGATTCACTAATTTAGTCACTTTAGTCTAAGAATGCAATATGTTTTGTTTGGCATGATCTATTTTTGACAAACCCATGTTAGCTTCTAGTAAGCTTTGCTTGTTTCTAGGTATTCACAGATCCATTGTTTGATTATCATTTTGGGGATCTTTCCAGGTATTGATATGAGGTTAATTTATCTGTAGTTTCCTGCGTCCATTTTTCCCCTTTTTTGAATTTGGGAACCACATCAGCCAGTCCTCTGGTAGTTTCCTGGTGCTCCAGGATCTTTGAAAGATATGGTTCAGTGTTTCTAAAATGCCTGACAGACAGCTCCTTCAGAACTCTGGGTGGTAATCCATCTGATCCTAGCAATTTAAACACCCAAACCCTGGTGATTTCACAGGTATAGCCCATTGTCTTTAGCAATTTTCTCACTCTTTGAATGTATTCTTTATTAATCATATTTTAAACTTGTCCAATTATGTTATTGAACTGTAAAATGCCCACATACTTGTAGGCTTCCTCTGACAACTCCTGATGGTCTGGCCATTCAGCTTTTGAATTCCATATTTGTTTGTGATTTCACTCCACTTTACTGCTATTGTAGCACATTTCTAAGATAAATTCCATTGCTATATCTATGCTACAAATTCTTACAGTGTTGTCAATGACTAGATTTTGATTTCTGATATTCCATAAAGTATGTATATATGTAACATAATTACATGATAATATATAAAAATATTTATTATATTGTTACATTGTGTAAGGTTTATTACTGTTGTTTACTGGGGAAAAAACCACTGGTTTGGTTCACACGTCATGCTAAACCATAGACCACAATCTGGGTTCACACGCCATTCTGAACTACTAGATGACAAATGCTATTTTATGTTTGCCCTTCCTAGCCCCAAAGATCCCTGGATAGTCCAGAAATACATTTACCAACCAAATGTTGAGGTCTGGAGTGCTTTGCCTATAGTTCCTTGGTCCTGGCAGTTCAGTGTTAATGCTCTTAGTTAGGTTAATCAGATTAGGCTAAAATACAATGATTATCCTATTTTTTTTCTTCAACCTTTATGGTGGAAAAGCCTCATGTTAAACTAGTAGGAATTGTAATGAACATGGGGCACATTTATTTGCTGGCTCAGTTTTCCTTCATTCTTGTGACCAATGTGCCCCTCCGCTCGAGTGCTTGGGGGCCAGCCGTGTCTCTGGGAGGCTGTTGCCCCTCCCCACTCCCATTGGGGATAGGGAACGGGATGCCAATCTTGTTCTTTGTCTTAGGTGGCAATATCTCCAGTCCCAGCCCTGGAAGCTTAACGCTCACTCTGGAAGAGCAAGTGAAGGCGTTCTGAAAACAGGCATTGTGATCACTAGCAAATAAATCCAAAGGAAACCTGCTGGGCAATAGAGGGAATGACAGTCTGGCTGGGGTCAAACACTTAAGCTGGGGGGGCAGCCAATTTTCTCTCTCTCTCTTCACATAGTATTTTTGAAGGTGAAGGCGGAGAGGAAGGAGCAGCATAAACTGTGGCCTTGACTTTTCATGTCAACCTATGGTCAGAGTTGGAAAAATGTCTCAATGCACAATCATGTTCTGATTTCACTCAACCCATTAATAATGCAAAAAGTCAAGATGGCAGCTGGTCCTAGTCATCAAACTCTTGTCACATTTTCATCTGTGTCTTGCATATAAGGGGGATGTCAAGATTGGATCGCTTTGCTTCTTTCAAAACTTAATGCTTTTCAACTTGCCAGTGAACTGGGGAGAGGGAAAGGAAATGCTGAGAATGTATGTGGAGATCGTGAGAGCATGGAAACCAGGGGTGGGTTCCTCCCGGTTCGCACCGGTTCGCACGAACCGGTTCGTCGGTGAACCTGGAAGTAATTAACTTCCGGGAACGCCGGTACCGGTCNGCGGTACTGCATTGTTTTAAAATAAAAATAATAAAAATATATTGGGAAAAAAAGAAATCTAAGTTCAGACCACCTTGAATCTTATCTACCACCTGTTTGCTTTGACCATTAGTAGTTCAATTCTTGTAGTGAGCATGACTTGCAATACAGCTCTATAGACATTTTAATTGCCTGGACACCCGAAGGGTTTTAAACCAATACTGAAATGGGGGAGTGGCCAGTCTTTAGGATCTTTAGGACCTAATCCCAAGCATAAACCCCAAGACAACCAATCAAACAAGGAGGGAGAGAGAGATGAAAAGGAAGAAAATCTCAGATACAAACTAGAAGATGTAGAAAGCATATCCAGGGAAAGCCATAAAGGACAGATGCCTATACACTCCATCCATCCATCCTTCCATCATTCAATCATAGAGCTGGAAGGGACCTGGGAGGTCTTCTAGTCCAACCCCTGCTCAAGCAGGAGACCCTATATAATTCAGATGTGACTGTCCAGTCTCTTAAAAACCTCCAGCGATGAATCCAAAGGTGTTTTTTCAAGAGGCAACTGGACTTTCTGATGACCGCCCCCCTCAGTGATGAAGCACCTATAACTTCTGACAGAAAGCTGTTCCATTAATTAATTGTCTTCACTGTTAGGAAGTTTCTCCTTAATTCCAGGTTGCTTCTCTCTTTAATTAGTTTCCATCCATTGCTTCTTGTCTTGCCTTCTGGCGCTTTGGAAAATAGGTTGACTCCCTCTTCTTTGTCGCAGCCCCTCAAATATTGGAATACTGCTATCATGTCACCCCTAGTTCTTCTTTTCACCAGAATAGATATATTCAATTCCTGCAAATGTTCTTCATACGTTTTATGGAGCTTTTGGCATGCTATGAAATGTGCTGGTTTTGAGAACAGGTCAACCACAGTCCATATTACAGTGTTCCCCCCACTCTCGAGGAGCTCTTCTATGAAACCCATGGCTATCTTACTAACAGAGAAGAACTGATAGAAGGAGCTGAAGTTGCAGGAATTTGGGGGAAAGTGACTGTGTCATATTGGAATTCAATCTAACGCAATCATAAGCAATAGAACGTAATCAAACCAATGTCTTAGACTTTTAAAAGCTGATTTCAACAGCTGTTTTGTTGCTGACCTTGATACCGCTTTCTTTCCCAAGGACTTCAGAACTGGGTTGAAAACAGGGCATCCTGAGTAGGTTCTGCTTGTCTTTAATCAGCTTTTCATCTTTGGTTTAGTGTCACCTGCTGCTGAGCGCCTCCGATATATCCTGGGTGAAGATGATGAGCCCCCCAACCCAACACTATTCACTGAGATGGACACTCTCCAACATGATGGAGAAGAAATGGAATGGAAGGAGGCAGCCAGGTAGGAAAACTGGGAAGACAGGAGCCATTTGGCTACAAAGGCTGACTTCATGGCTGGATAGATATAGCTAATGACCTAGAAGAGTGCAGAAAGCAACATGTATTGTTCTTACTTTTCTCATGCTTCTTGTTGCCTCTAGGCAAGCAGCTTTGATGGGTGGTGATAAACCCTCTAAAATCTATCTGCCAATGGGAAAATTTGGGATCAGACTGTCATCTTAGTCAGTGGTTCCTAATACTACTTCGAAAGCTATCTTTAATTTTATGGGGGACCAGAATATTATAGAGTAATCCTAGAAACTTGTCATCGCTTCTCTGATTTATAGGCTTATTAGTTCCTATGCTGCAGCTAGTGAACACCTAGAAAAGTGGCTCAGAGGTGAAGAAAATTCAGTATTAGATGCACATTTCCACTTCTTTTCCCTGTAGAGCATCAAGGATAAATAACCAAATAGAGGTCATGGTGCACCTCTTATTCCACCCAAACAGTAATTGACATAATATTGTACACATGTGCACAAAATCAAAGAAAACTACACCTAGAGGAAATGTCAACATCTCATGAAAATGGTGCAACTGTAAGAGCAGTTCAACCCGAGGAACTTTCATTCAAAGAGGACAGGCCGTCAGGGCCATCATCCTAGGAAAGCTTCACTGCAGCTCCTGCACTGAACAGGGGGTTGGTCTCCTTGCTTTAGGCAGCTCTTTCAAGATTAGAATGCAGTGACCCTGTTCTGGCATGGGGTCATTTTCTGTAACGTCCAGAGGAATCGCCACATCGGAATCAGCTGTTGTGCATTGCCCAAAGCCTTGTGCTCGGACGGGGCCTCTGGCTTGGCTGCAGGGAATCCAATAAATTAATATAGTAAAATACAGTAAAATCAACCCCCACCCCCTGCCCCAGCAACAGCAGATCACACGAGCCATTTAACAGGCTCCATCCCGCTCTGGGTTCCCCAGCCCACAGGCAGAACCAGGTCTTCAGCGCCTTCCGGGAGAACGTTAGAGTTGGGCCCATTCTAATCTCTGGGGAGATGATGTTCCAGAGAGAGGGAGCCACCACGGAGGAGGCCCTTCTTCTGGGTCCCACCAGGTGTATCTCCCATGGGGATGGGACCCACAACATTCCCTGCCTCCCAGAATCCTATCAGGGGGTGGTTGATAGATCAACAACAGGCCGCACCCATCCCCTTCTCATCATCCTCCCTCCCTCCCCATCTTTTTAGCTTGGTTGATGTTTTATAGTATTGTATTTATATTATTAGCATTTATATAGTTTTATCTTTTAATATTATTAACCACTCAGGGTTACCCTGTGGTAAGATGGTTGGCTAATACATTTTACAATTTGATTATCAATCAATGAATGTAGAATGGGAGAAAGAGCTACAATGCTGATTTCGCAACTGGGAGTTGTGAGATGTCCCAGCCCTTCTGGGTGACCGATGGTTACACCTCCCTCTCTATTGCAGTTAATCCCCAAGTGATGCTACCTTGAATGTTTCCAACCATTTGCCACTTTCTTCGAAATGCTACAATAGACTTTTTTTCCATGCAGGAAGCCATCATCCCACCAGCTTGTCCCCCCTGCCATCAGCATCCTTCTTCCTTGTCTTCAAAGAAATAAAAGGCTGTCCCAGGGTGGTTTCCTCCATGGGCTCCCCTGTCCACTCATGGTAGAAACTGGCTTCCCCATTGACTTTGCTGGTCAGAAGGTCACAAAAGGTGGTCACGTGATCTGGGGATACAGCAACAGTCATAAATATGAAGCAGTTGTCAAGCATCTGAACTTCTGTCACCTGACCATAGGCAGCTGCAAAGGTTGCGATTGTAACTGTGAATGGTCAAGTGAAGAGTTAACTTTGCTTACTTACTGCAAATATATAAAACAAACCCTTTTGAAATCCTCAAACTTTAATCAAAGTATTAATGAAAATGTTAAGGCATCCTTATGTTATTGAATTTTAAGTTCACCATCTAAAATAACTCAAATACAAATCCTTATGGAATGTCCTCTATCGGCTGAGATTCTAGAGGCATTAGCCAGTTATTTTTCATTAATATACTGAGTCTCCCTGTATTGGGGGAGGATGTGGAATTTGGAGACCCTAATAGCACTTTTGATCTCATTTCAACCTCTTGGTTGTGAAGAACAAAGCATCGCGGGTGCTTATGTCCAAGAAAAACAAAACTATACTATAAAGCCAAGCCAATAGCATAGCTCTATTTTTTAATAATTCATTTGTCTTTCTTGTTCATGGTAGTTTGGAGATTGTATCACATGATTCCTCCATTGTGGAGGGTGGGGGCTAAGCCATCCACACCTTGGCTGTTCACAGTGGCCCATATAAACGACCTTGAGCAAACACTAAGTAAAAAGCTTGGGGACTTTTCCCATGGCCAGAGTTGTGTGGGTGACTATCCGAATCTTTTAAATGAATAAGCAAAACTTTTGCTGAAATGAAGATGAAATGTGAATTCATTCACATGTCCAGTAACCTCAAAGCAGAAAGAGGGAAGCGGGGAAAGCTGAAATTCCAAAATTAATTTAATTTTTGTTTTGCTTCTCATTCTGTTACAAATTATGTCATTCTAGCTGAGTGGCGATGGGTGGGGGAAACTTTGGCAAGATATCCCCCAATGTCTCTTCTTTTGGTCCATTGGCAGTGATGAAAAACCAGTTTGCATTGTAATTATCCAAGATGTATCATGTACAAACAACATTTGGCAAAACCTAACCAAAAGTGGTTAATCTTGAAACAGCTGAGCAGAGTCAGGCTAGCTGGAATTTAAAAAAAAAAACATTCTGGAAATAGTCCCAAAGGACTATTTGACAAGAAGCTTCTTCAGTTCTTGGATGAGAAGTGAAATGTTTTCAAGGAAAAAACCCAAGAAAGTCCATTTGCCCTTTGAACAGCAGCCCCTTTGGGACAACTGTGACCTGGATGACCTAGAATCTCCATAGACCTTCTGGGAATAGGTAAAGACAAACCACTTTCTGATATTCCACGTGTCATACAGTTTGAATCAAATACTTACTTTGGAGTTTGGAGTTTGGAGTAGTTTATTTATATGCCGCCCTTTTCCCTGGGGAGACTCAGGGCGGCTTACAATTCGAAAGGAGGGGAAAANCCCTGAGCCGGTGAGATTTGAACCGCTGACCTGCTGATCTAGCAGTAGCCTGCAGTGCTGCATTTAACCACTGCGCCACCTTGGCTCTTAACTGCAGTGCAGTTCTTAATCTTTTCTGTTCTAGATCCACGAAGGACATGGGAAGTAGTCCTGAGGTGACAGGCTTACTATATAAGTAATAATAAATGTTTCCTACACTGCCATTAGCACAATTTGTGAAGTTAGCCCCTAAAAGACTTTGTCAACATAACCAGTTAGAAATAAAAATGATGTCACGTATTAATGACATCATGCAGATGAATCCAATGAAGCAATTTGAACAAATGGCATCATTCACACAATTGACATGGATACGGTGGATGCTCTTCTCAAGAGGTTCACAACATATTTCAAGTGAGCTTCTCGATGGAGCCCCAGGGGAAAAAGAGGAAGGGACAAAGGCTCTCCTTACCTGTGTTTGGATTGGTTCAGAAAGACTTCTGTTAAGCCTCCCCCTCCAAGAGGTTTTCAGACTTTTGGCAGCATCATAAGGCAGCAAGCAGGGCAATCTTGCTCTAAGACCTGCTGCATAATGTTATGATCACAGACTCTGAACAGACAGTAAATGTCTCTCAAACATTAGGACTCCAAACGCACAGCAGAAAACCACTTGATCAGCAGGTGCTCAGCCGGATGCAAATCCCCCTCCTGAAAAATCTCAGGCTCCATCAACAACAATCCACTTTCTCAGAATGGCTCCCTCCAAGGCAGGGGCTCCCAACCTGGGGCCATTTGATTTTTAATGGGGGCAATTTGAACCTTGTTTAAACCAAGTGAATGGCCTTTTAGGCTTCCTCCGTGTGAGGAGAGGTCACTTTTTGAGTAAAGTAAGATTTATATGTCACGGGGGGGGGGGAGATCAGGATTTTAGAGATGGTTAGGTGGATCATGGCCAAAAAAAGGTTGGGAACCGCTGCTCCAAGGGAATACGTTGGCACTGGCCCATTTTAATTCATCTGGTTGATATTTCCAGTAGCAGAATCTTGTGCAGTTAGTGAAGGGCAAAGGGACCAATAACCTAAATGAACAACCTTCCCATTGTCTTCCATCTTCTTTTCCAGGGTCATGGGAGCTTATCTCTTGCCTGAGCAATGGAAAGGAACACAGTCTCTGTTTCTGTGTCTTTTGGTAACATTTTGATGAAAATGTATTTACTTTAGGGGGCTTTTTTTACACTTTGTTTATATATTATGGGCCAGTTGACACAAAGTGGGAAGTAAAGCAACCTTTGTCTCCCCCCCCCCCCCCCGCTTGGAACTGGCTGCAAACGAGCAAATGCCAATTAATTCTGATTGTACTACAATTCTGTTTCTCTCTTAACCTGAGGACAAATCTTACTGAATATATTTGGATGCATAGCTGAATAGGGATGGATGAAATTATACTACACAAATAGCAATTTATTAAATTGTTCTACAGAAAAGAAGTGCTTTTTTCTCAGTCTATTATAGGGCAAGAAGACGGATGTGAGTCCTGTTATTTGTATGAGAAATGTGTGCTTAAATTCCCTATAAGGAGACTGCCCTGAGATAAGCCACTCTGCGGCTGGGGAGACTCTGTCTGGAGAGGTGTGTGCAGAGTCTTTGCACAGCCTCTGTGGACACACAGGGAACGATGCAGGCAAGGGAGGAAAGAGAATGTAGGGCTACACCTGGTTGGCTTTGTCCCTCATTATTGTAGAAGTTGCACTCTCTCTTTCCCCTTTGATTTTCTCCACAGCAAAATGTGGATTCAAGTGCTTTCCCCAGAATTGAGGTTTCCAGAATAGGGAACAAAGAACATTAAGAAATAATTGTTGGATTGTTTCTTTGGCTTGTATGGGTGCCCACA